ATATATATGGTAGCTCTGGTGGCATAGTGAATAAGGCATTTGACTACTAACCTGAAGGTCAGTGGTTCAAACCCACCAGCTGCTCCATGGAAGGAAGACTAGTTGATCTACTTCTGTAAAGATTTACAGCCTTGGAAACCCAATGGGGGTTGCTATGTGTTGGAAACAACTTGATGACAGTGAGGTTTTTTTTTTTTAATTATTTAATAATACATATACATACACACATATGCATATACACACATATATACCTATATATACACACACACACATATATATATTTAGCATTTAAAGCAAGCAGTTAAAAGGACATTTTCCTCAAATCTATTGAGTAAGACAAGTTAGTATTCAGTTTTTTAACCAAAATTGATAAAGATCCTATATGTTCATGTGAGTTTATGTAGATGACAATGAATAAATTCTTTCCTTTTAAAAAGCGTTCCCCATGCTTAATTTATTATCCTTCTGTTGTCCATAGGGTCATTGTGAGTTGGAGATGACTCGATGGCAGTAACAACAAAAGCACATTTATTTAATGATTTATTTTATACACATCAAGTCAGATTTCTAAAACTGATGTATGACTTTATTTACTGTGCAAAGTAAAGTCCATGTGTGTAAGTCTTCCCCCTGCCTCCAGCTTGCTTGTAGCAAATAAGCTGAGAAATAAACTGCTTTTGTTTGGATGATTGCCATTTGGAGTATTGTAAAATTTCTTTCTAACCAGTTATCGTAAGTACTGGATAAGCAATGAAGTAACACTTAGAAATGACCTGGTAGCCCTGTTGCCAGTTAAGGTCATTTTCACTGTGAAGGACCTTCTAATCGTTTCCCAGGAATTGAGCTTTAACGTGCTGGACACCGCTGATGGGGGCCTGCTAAACAGCATGAGACGTTTGCTCTCAGACATCTTCATTCCTGCTCTCAAAGCCACGGACCATGGCTGGGGTGAGCGTGACAGTCTTCAGGAGGTGTCCAGCATCCGGCAGGACTTCCTCTGCTCTCTGGAAGGCTTTGTGAGTGTTCTGGCAGGGGCTCAAGAGAGCCTGAAAGAGAAGGTAAGAATAACTAAGTAGTTTTTTTTTTAAATTGTCAAACGGTGAACAAACATAATGTGCACATGAATGACCCTTCCCTTGTTGGTGATGGACACCATGGAGTCAATTCCAACTCACAGTGACCTGTTTGACAGGGCAGAACTGCCCCATAGCGTTTTCTAGTCTGTAATTTCTACAAGAGCAGATCACCAACTTTTTCTCCTGTGGAGCCACTGGGTGGATTTGAACTGCCAACCTTTTACTTAGAAGTTGAATGCTTTACCGTTACATCCACAGGGCTCCTTGATACTCCTCTTAGCTGGTCTTAATTTAACCACCTCACAAATCCTGAAACACATGTGTAGCATTTTTGTGGTCCCCTGAGGGGTGGGAGTAACTAGATTTAAATTTATTAATTTGTAGTGATAAATGCTTGTTGGGATTTCATACACATGTTGACGGTAATGTAGGGTCATGTCAGATGTTTGGCTCCAGAGAGAAGAGTGGAAGTGCTTGTGGTATTGCTGTTCCTCCTAGAGCAAAATGGGTTTGGAAGCAGGAGTGTTTGTATGTGGTGGGCAGTGGGAAGGGGTGAAAGGAAATTCTGAAGAGGTGGAAGACAGAGAAAAGAATTATCTGGGAGAAAGTGGATTGGGCTGCATGATTGAGCTAGTGACCCAAACGGGCTTTAAATAAGTTTGGCAAATGAGAGATTTAGCTTCTGTAAGATTTCTGTTACCTGCCATAGGCCTGGAGTCCCTGAATGGTGCAAGAAGTTAAAGTACCTGGGTGCTAACTGACAGGTTGGCAGAGGTGCCTCAGACAGAAGGTCTGGCTGCTTCTGACACTCAACCATTGAAAATCCTGTGGAGCACATTCTGCTCTGAGACACATGCGTCACCATGAGTTTTAATTAATTGGTGGCAACTGGTTACCGTAGGCCTAGGTTTGTGATTACTTGTGTGTGTGTGTGTGTGTGGGTGGGTGTGTGTGTGTGAGAGAGAGGAGGGAGGCGGAAGGGAGAGAAAGAGAGAGAAAAAAGGGAGGGAGAGGGAGAGGGAGAGAGAAGATTAGGGAACAAACAGAAGATCAAGCACAAACGGCCATAGTGAATTGGGTTCCATGGTCAGGATGACACTCCCCCCTCTCCAAGGAGTACTGAGATCTGTGGCGATATTGAAAGGGTCCTGGTAGAAGAAGGTTAAGAGCTTGGCTGCTAACTGAAAGGTTAGCAGTTTGAACCCACACAGCAGCTCTGTGGAGAAAGTTCCTGGCCATCTGCTCATGTAACGATTACAGCCTGGAAAATCCTGGAGGACAGTTCTGCTCTGTCACACGGAGTCGTCAGGCGTCACTAGTCATCTCAACAGCACTCAACAATGCCTGCTGGGATCTTGGGGGATGGAAGCGTTGCTGTGGTCAGGTGCTGTTGAGTAGGCCGAGTCGTAGTGGCCCCATCCATGTGCAACAGAACGGAGCACTGCCACCCACACGCTCGTTGCTAAATTGGAGTCCCTTGTTGCAGCCACTGCCAGGCCATCTCATCGAGGGTGTTCCTCTTTTTTGCTGACCCTCTACTTTACCAAGCATGATGTCCTTCAGGACCAAAGTAAGCAGGGTGAAGTCCCACCATTCTCAGTTCTAAGGAGCGTTCTGGCTGTACTTCTTTCAAGACGGGTTTCTTTGTTCTCCTGGTGGTCCGTGGTATATTTAATATTCCTCACCCACACCATTATTCAAATGCATGAATTCCTCTTCCATCTTCCTTATTCATTGTCCAGCTTTCCTGTGCACATGAGGCAACTGAAAACACCATGGCTTGGGTCAGGTGTACCTTAGTCTTCAAAGTGATGTCTTTGCTTTTTAACACTTTAAAGAAGTCTTTTACAGCAGACCTACCCAATGCAGTATGTCATCTGATTTCCTGACTGCTGCTTCCATGGGCATTGTTTGTGGATCCAAGTAAAGTGAAATCCTTGACAATCCTTGACAACTTAAGTCTGTTCTTCATTTGTCATGATGTTGCTTATTGGTCCGGTTGTGAAGATTTTTGTTTTCTTTGTACTGAGATATAATCCATACTGGAGGCTGTAGTCTTTGATCTTCATCAGGGTTTCAAGTCATCTTCAATTTCAGCAAGCAGGGTTGTGTCATTTGCATAGCACAGGTTGTTAATGAGTCTTCCTGCAGTCCTGATACTGTGTTCTTCTTCATATTGTCCAGCTTCTAGGATTATTTGCTCAGCCTACAGATTGAGTTATTATGGTGACAGGACACAACTCTGACACCCACTTTTCCTGGTTTTAAACCATGCACTACCCCCTTATTCTGTTCCAATGAGTGCCTCTCATACAGTTCCACGTGAGCACAATTAAGTGTTTTGGAATTCCCATTGTTGGCAACATAATCCATAATTTGTTATGATCTGCACAGTTGAAAGCCATTGTGTAGGCAACAGAACATAGCTAAACATCTTTCTGGTATTCGCTGCTTTCAGCCAAGGTCCATCTGACATCAGTGAAGACAAGTCTCATTCCATGTTCTCTTCTGAATCTGACTTGAATTTCTGGCAGTTCCCTGTCAAGATACTGCTGCAATCATTTTTGAATTATCTTCAGCAAAATTTTACTTGTGTGTGATATTCATGATATTATTTGATAATGTTCACATTCTGTTGGATCACCTTTCCTTGGAATGGGCACAAATATGGATCTCTTCCAGTCAGTTGGCCAGGTAGCTGTCTTCAAATTTCTTGGCATAAATCAGTGAGCTTCTCCAGCACTGCATCTGTTTGTTGAAACATCTCAGTGGGTTAGTGTCAATTCCTGGAGCCTTGCTTTTCCCCAATTTCTTCAGTGCAGGTTGGTCTTCTTCCTTCAGTACCAATGGTTCTTGATCATTTGTGACCTCCTGAAATGGTTGAACATCGACCAGTTCTTTTTGGGACAGTGACTCTGAGTATTCCTTCTGTCTTCTTTTGATGCTTCCTGCATCATTCAGTATATTGCCCTTAGGATCCTTCAGTATTGCAATTTGAGGCTTGAATTTCTTCTTCAGTTTGAGAAATTTGGAATGTGTTCTTCCCTTTTTGTTTTTTAACTACAGATCTTTGAACATTTTATTATAGTACTCTGTTTTCTTCAGCTTTCCTTTGAAATCTTCTGTTCAGGTTTTTAATTCATCATTTCTTCTGCTTTAGCTGCTCTGTGACAACCATTGATATATTGGGGGAAGGGAGTGTTTGACTTTGAAAACTGTGGAATGAGGGAGTTGAGCAAACGTTAGCCAGATAGGGCAGGATGATTCCAGTTCACATGTGAGTTATAGTTGCAGTTAACCATGATGCAGGCCACATAATGATACATATGTTGGACCAATGAAATTACAGACAGTCCATATAAGCAGCATTTTCATTTGGTTCCACTTTATATTGTAATTCCAGGGCCAGGTACTGTTGAGATGATTTTCCTTATGGTAACCCTAGGCATGTCTGAGTAGAACTATGCCCCCTGGTATTTTCAGGGGCTGATTTTTTTAGAACTAGGTTGCCAGGCCTTTCTTCCAAGGCACCTCTGGGTAGACTTGAACCCCCAATTTTTCAGTTAGCAGCTGAGTGTGATAACCTTTTGTACTACCCAGGGGCTCTTCATATTGTAAGAGAGATGTTAAAAAAGTGAGGTGGACACCTGCCCAGGAAGAGTCAGAACCAGCCATTTCATGAAGCCCACACTCTACCCCTAGAAGCCAGGGAGCACTCTAGGAGATGTGGAGGGTGGAAGGTGTAGTGTGGGAGAGGTTGCAGTCACTGGGTTGGATCCTGAAGATGAGCAATAACTTGAAGGAGGCTGGAAGGGCCTTCCAGGCTAGAGAGCAGCATGAACAAAGGCACAGGGGGTGGAGGGTGTGTGGCCCAGTGGGTTCTGCAGAACTCGATCAGAGAGCAGCAAAGGGAGACTCAGGGAGCCGAGCCAGGCCCAGGGAGGGCAGGGCAGAGTCTCTGCAGCCTGAGGTGGACAGGGCCATCACAGGGCCTGGCCACAAGCAGTCATGGCTGAGCAGCCTGGACTGCGGAGGTCAGGGCTGGCAGGGCTTCGTTAGTACACCAAGGATGGAAATGAGCAATCTCAAAGGGGACGTCCAGATAAGGCTGTGGGCAGGGCCCCCTGTAGCAGGCCCCCGCAGGATACCCTCTGCTGGCTTCAAGGGAGCAGAGGGCAAACCTAGCATCTGACACCTGCATGCTCCAACCAACATCTTGCACCATGGTCCTTGGCTGTGTTGGAGTTGGAGAGTGACAGGTAACTCACCCCTTCATGCTGGTTCTGAGCCAATTGAGAAAAATGTTGGTTTTATTTTTGGTGAAGCTGGATTGGGCTTGAGACGTGAATTCAGAAAGTGACCTTGTGCTGCCGGGTATACCTTCACCAGAAGGGAAATGCCCTTTCCAGATGCTGCGGGGCACTAGGGGAGTCAGTGTTTCACTGCTGTCAGTAGTAGCCACTGTCACATCGGCCCCAGCTCGTGGTGACATCGTGTGTGGTGAACAAAGAGTATGGTTGTGATTCATGGAGCTTGTACTGGCTTATTTTTGGAAGTAGGTCACCAGGTCTTTCTTCCTGGTCTGTATTCGGTGTAGGAGTTATCATTTTTGAAAAATATATTTGGTTTCTTTGTCAAGCCAAAAATGCCTCCCCAGCTCCTGAGTAAGTGTTTGCCATTGAACTTGCTCACTCTGAGTGTTGCTGGCTAAGGGAGCACTCTTTTCTGTTGCTTAGTTTTGAAAAAGACAAAATAACAGGTTAGAAACTACCCCTCCCTGTGTCAATTTCCTTGAAGCTGTCTATCTTACTTTCATGTTTCATGATGTGGCTGGATAATCCCCAAGTTCCCTGTGAGTTACCAAAATCTGTAATGTTAGTTTTCCCCGCTTTCTTGTTCACTTTTTTTTTTTTTTTTACCAACCCAAAGTTTGACTGCAGAATTAATAACCTTGACTGGTGTGCTTAATACTTAAGGGAAGATTGGGAGTTATGTATGTTACCATGCTTTCACGAGTCTGGGCTTGAGGGAGCTAGAGTATTCCCACAAAGTCTTCTTAGAGTATTACCCACAAGATCCTCCCGGAGTACTCCCGCAACATTCTGCCAGAGTATTCCTAAGAAGTCCTCCTAGAGGATTCCTGCAAGATCCTGCCAGTCTATTCCCTCAAGATCCTCCTACATTACTCCTGCAAGATCCTGCCGGAGTATTCCCAAGAGATCCTTCTCTGCTTAGGCGTCGGCCAAAAGATATGTGTGTGTTTAAAAGCATCATCATGTTTAATTTTCCATTTCATTAGGTGAACCTTCAAAAGTGCGACATATTTGAACTGAAGAACCTGAGGGAACCCATAGACTATTTGGCTGTAGCTAATAATCCTGAGACACTGGAAAAGATAGAGGGGTGTATGAAAGTATGGATCAAACAGACGGAACAGGTAATTTTCTGAAACAGACATTTGTTTTCAGATGCTGTGTAATTGAACTAGGTATTTTCCACACAGGCCTCCCAAAGATGAATGATTCAATTTGCTGTTCAGTTACAATCATTAGTTAAGAAGAGATAATAAAAATGATAAGAAATGAAAATAAATGGATAGAAGGCTGAGTTTTGCCAGTTTTTTCTCAAACTATAATTTATATTGGAGAAGTATAATGCATATTATAATCCAATGTGTCTTCCAAAACGGAGCTCAAAACTTAAACCTATACAAAAATATTTTTGTAAGAGTCCTGTATGAAGGTGGCTATCATGTCAAAAAGTAAACACAATTAAAATGAACTAACTGAAGTGATGGGGTTCTCCAAGGTTATCCATACGTGACTGGCCAGGGAAACTTACTGATGTTAAAACAAAAACACTAAACCCACTGCTGTTGAGTCAGTTCTGACCCCTAGTGACCCTACAGGACAGAGTAGAACTTCCCCCCAGAGTTTCCAAGGCTGTAATCTTTATGGAAACAGACTGCCTCATCTTTCTACCACAGAGTGGCTGGTGGGTTCAAACTGCCAGCCCTTTGGTTAGCAGCCAAGTACCTGTTGTTGTTGTTTGCCGTCGAGTCGGCCCTGACTCATAGCGACCCCTCCTTGGGTTTCCGAGGCAGTATCACTACGGAAGTAGGATTGCCCAACCTTCCTTCGGAGGAGTGGCTGGGGGTTTGAACCGCCAGCCTTCTCGTGAGCAGTCAAGTGCCTTAGGCACTATGCTACCAGAGCTCCTAGCCAAGTACCTAAAGCTCCTTAAATAAGTAGTTTGTAGTTGGAACAAGCTAACTAAATTTTTGTTGAAGTTTTAAAAGTGGTTCATGTTAAACAAGTGAAAGGCTGTCATTCGAAGCCTGTAAATGAACAAAAATCTTCATCACTCAGATAGCATAGTTTCTTACTTATCTTCTGCTGGTGAGAACTGTGCTCTCTCCAGCCCGTTCAGTGGTGCACGTTTCCTGTGTGCATTTGCAGGTCCTTGCTGAAAACAACCAGCTGCGGACGGAAGCTGATGACCTGGGCCCGCGAGCGGAGCTGGAGCACTGGAAGAAAAGGCTGTCCAAGTTTAACTGCCTCGTGGACCAGTTGAAAGGCCCAGACGTGAAGGCTGTGCTGGCGGTGCTGGCTGCGGCCCGCTCCAGACTCCTGAAGGTTGTCAGCCAGCTCCTGGTGCTTTATGAGGCGGGCACGTGAATTTTCTCTAGGTGTTTTCACGGCCTCGGGTTACTAGGAATAGGGAGATATGACACTTTCATTAAAAAGATTGGGTAACATTGCCCTTATGTAACTTTGGGTGCTGTGGAAATAGCCTTTGAATTAAAGAGATGTGTGTTGCCATACACACACACACATGTGGACACAGACAGACACAGATGCACACATAGTAAAACCTGCAAGAGCTGAACCCTGTCAGAGAAGGAAAACTCAAATATTTTTTTCCACTAAAATAAGCAATAGCAAAAGGGGTAAGACTGAACTCTGTCAAAGGCAGAAACCTTGCAAGACCCAAGAAACAAGGCAGTCCTTTTGAGTTCTAGCTCTCACAGGTTTCATTGTGTGTGTGTGTGTGTGTGTGTGTAAAACGCATTGCTGTTGAATCAATGCCGACTCATAGTGACCACATAGTACAGAATAGAACTGCCCCCACAGGCTTTCCAAGGCTGGGAATCTTTACGCAGGCAGATTGCCACAGCTTTCTCCCACAGAGTGACTGGTGGGTTCGAACTGCCGACCTTATGGTTAGCAGCAAGAGCTTAACCTCTATACCACATAGGCTCCTCTGTGTGTGTGTGCGTATATACATAAATACATTCATATATACATATATACATAATTCATACATTTATATGCATATGTATATGTGTGTGTGTGTGTGTGTGTGTATTTGTTGTTGTTGTTATGTGCCATCGAGTCAGACCTGACTCATAGCGACCCCTCCTTGGGTTTCCGAGGTGGTATCACTACAGAAGTAGATTGCCCAACCTTCCTTCCGAGGAGTGGCTGGTGGGTTTGAACCGCCAGCCTTCTGGTTAGCAGTCAAGTGCCTTAGGCACTACGCTACCAGAGCTCCCATATATATATATATATATGTATGTATATATGTGTATATGTTGTTATGTGCTGTTGAGTCAGACCCGACTCTTAGGGGCTTAAAACAACATTTCTTCATTTCCCAGCTTCTGGGTCAGGAGTTTGGGCATAGCTTAGCTGTGTGCCTCTGGCTCAGGGTCTCTCATGGGCTGCATTTGGGGTGTTGGCTCATCTAGGGGAGGATCACTTCCATGTTCATACATGTGGTTGTGGGCAGGATTCACTTCCCTGAGCTGGCTGTTCACCAGAGACCACCCTCAGGTCTTGGCCATGTGGACCCCTCCCTGGAGCAGCTCACAACAATTGTAAATGAGTAAGTGAGAGAGTCAGAAAGAACATCCAACATGCAAACCACAGTGTAGTCCCAGGCCTGATGACCCGCCATTTTTATTGTATTCTCTTTATTAGAAGCAAGTCACTAGGTTCAGCCCAGGATGAAGGGTAGGGGATGACACAGGAGAAGAAACACCAGGAATTCCTGGTCATTGATGACCATCTTAGAGGCTGCCTGCCCCACCACAAACACTATTTATCAGCTACATACGTGGATGCTTCAGTCCACAAGTAATTTAAATAATTAATAATAATTTGTTTCAGTAACTGTGCTTTCCATTTACTTTATGTCATTGGTCAAAGAAGAGTGAGAGGTAAGCCTTGCAATACACCTCAGAAATACGTTATCAGTTGTTGTTGTTAGGTGCTGTTGAGTCAGCTCCAACTCGTGGCAACAACAGAACAAAACCAGCCTCGCAATCATGGTGTTTGAGTCCACTGTTGCAGCCACTCTGCCAGTCCATCCCAGTGAGGGTTTTCCTCTTTTTCACTGACTCACTTTAACAGGCATGATGTCCTCCATGGACTGGTCCCTCCTGATAACATGTCCAAAGTGCATGAGATGAAGTCTCACCATCATTGCTTCCAAGGAGCTTCTGGCATACTTCTAAGACAGATTTGTTAATTCTTCTTGGAGGACATGGCATACGCAGTGTCCTTTACCAACACCATAATTCAAAGCCATCTATTAGTCTTCAGTCTTCCTTATTCATTGTCCAGCTTTTTAATGCTTATGAGGCAATTGAAAATACTGTGTCTTGCATCGGGTGCGACTTTGTCCTCAAAGTGACATCTTTGCTTTTTAACACTTTAAAGAGTTCTTTTGTAGTGGATTCATCCAGTGTGACACCTTGTTTTATTTCTTGATTTCTATTAGTAGAACTCCCATGAAGTCAATCAAATGCATTGTCTTGTTTTTAAAAACTTCTTTTTACATCTCCTCCTTTTATGTATCTTTCCATTTTGATGCTCCTATCTCACAGCACAGTCCTGGCACATGGTTGGCAGTTAATAAATAATTGCTTCACTAATGGATGAACAAAAGTATAAGGATGAAAGGGAGTTCAGGTTAGAAAAGAGGGAAGATAGGAACCATGGGAGTGAGGTACAGAATGGGTCCAGCAGCCAGTAGAGGGGCAAGGTGTGGGGTGAAATGAGGTGTTGTGTCATCTTGCTCCTCTGTTCCAGTCAATGCATTGATTTCATTTAGTCAATATTTTACAATTGCTCTTCAACGTAAGCAATGTCCCTCGCCCCTCTGATTCAATTCTATGCAAAATGCATTGAACAAATGGATAGTCTGACCCCAGGGACTGGTGGTGACTCTTAAACCCACTGCCGTGGAGTCGATTTTGACTCATAGCGGCACTATGAGGTGGTGACTCTCAGTGGTCGTTACATCGGAAGTTCCTGAATTAATAATTGCATTACAATTCCTTTCCTTTATTGTGCTTAGGCTTGGCGGGAGATGGATGTTCGGATCACAGATGCAGCTAATGAAGCGAAGGACAATGTCAGATATTTGTACACTCTTGAAAAATGCTGTGATCCCTTGTACAGCAGTGATCCTGTGAGTTCAGAACTTCTACTCTCTGGTCTACTGATGACCCATGTACACCTGATCAACTGAGTGCCAAGTGTCTGTCTCTTCATTGCTATTACAGTCTGTTGGAAAGTGTATGTGTGTGTGTGTTTAGAGAGAAGATGTCTATCAGATGTTACGGTTAGCAAAAACATTTATTGCATATGATCTTTTCTAGTAAATATTGCAAGTGACATTGTAGACTTTGTCCCAAAGAACTATGGGAAAGATATGGCTATAGCTTTTTGATCTTTTAGCTTACAGAGTACCTACTTTTTAAAAATTTTTCATTGTGATTTGGGTGAAAGTTTACAGAGCAAATTCACTTTCCACACAGCAGCTCACATATACTTTGTCTCATGGTACTGACTACAGTCTCCCACAATGCAACAGCTCCCCTCCCACTTCTTTCCCATAGTTACCTCTTCCCTGTGTCCTTCCCTCCCATGCCCTCCTGCCTCCCAAGCTATCTCCCTGTGCATACACAACCCTTCTGTTCTCCCATGATTGTTCTCTCCAAGGAGTTAATCTACCTAATGTAAATGTTCAGCTCATATGCCTGTCTTTTGTTTGGCTGGAAGCCACAAGAGTGGGTTCAGTTCCAGACCTGAAGGGCAGCTAGGGGCCATAGTCAGAGTGGTTCCACCAGGCTCTATCAGACCAGCAAACCTGGTCTTTTTTTTTTAAATGATTTTGAATTTTGTTCCACATTGTTCTCCTACTTTGTCCAGGATCTCCTACATCTATCCCCCTCTGAGTGCATAGTACTTACTTTTATGTGTTAGAAAATTAATTATTCACAAACCTTCTTGTCAGTAACAGCAAGTTACTGTTTCTTGCACTGAAATAAAATTTGATGAACCATCTATGACCAAAATAATAAAAATAAAGTGATCATGAAATAGATGATATTCATGCAAAGCATTAGATCATATTTTATAAATTTTAATGGAATCACTTAGATAAACTTGATTCTAATGGAAACAGAATAATCAGTCTATTATTAAGTTGCTAAATTTGCTCTTTTTTCCCCCTGAAAACTTTTGTGGTTATCTTCCAGATATCCATGATTGATGCTATTCCTACACTTATAAATGCAATCAAAATGATCTACAGTATCTCTCATTACTATAACACCTCTGAGAAGATAACGTCTTTGTTTGTAAAGGTAAGTGTGCAGCACAGGCTCTGAGGTCACGTGTATTTCTTTGTCATTAGTCAGTTTTCTGATAACTAAAGTTTACTACAGTGACACAATCCAGTGTCTAAATATCTTTTTTTTTTTTTAAGATTTTGTTCTTTATTTTTCATTCATGTTGAATCAAATATTTCTTTATTTTTAAAAATTTTTTAAAAATTTTTTATTGTGATTTGGGTGAAGATTTACCGAGAAAATTCACTTTCCATACAGCAGTTCATACATACTTTGTCTCATGTCACTGACCACAGTTTAAAAACTATGGAA